CTCTGAATTGTTGTTTTCTTTTGTTTTCAGGATTTTGTCAATGATGTCTTGTAATGTCCAGTCCAGAACTCACTTTTATGACTCTTTTACAAATTATTCCTTTCTGCAGAGGCACAGACCCACTTCACTCATTTTATGAAGTGAACTGACTTTTATCTATCTTTGCAAACAATGTTTGGAATAGCCAGGCTATTGGAGGGTCTTACATATTATAAAATATGGTTCCCAGACCCTGTGGGGTTTGAGGGTAGTTCCCTGCTGTATTGCTACCATCTTCCCTGTGAGAGGGTTTATTAGTCTTCTATATTTTGAGTGCTCCAGCAACTCAGAAGAGAAGCATTTGTGGTCACAAACTAAGGAATACTAGAAGCCTTGAGATTTGAGAAAATGCAAGAAATCATTTTCTTTTAGAGATTTTATGGGTAGTATGGCTATTTTATCACTTTGATATTTGTATATTCACAGCCACCTACACTTTGAAAGTCTTGTATTTAAATTATCCATAATAATAAGAGATAATTTCTGATTATTTCATTCCAATAAGTGTCTAATTCTATTTTTAGCCACATTTAAAATATCAGAAATTACTGCTAATTAAATCTGTATATTAAAATTTCCATCATGATAATGAGATCAGCATTAAATAGTACTTTTGAGTACATTAAACAAAGTTGCTATAACACATAATTGAAATTTCCCTGCCTTTTCTGAGCATCAGAAACAGGATGGTCAGGCAGCTTTTAATTTCTGAATGATATGTAAGTGTATTCATGATTCTTTTCTCAGTACCAGTTTCCTTGTGATGTAAACTATTTGTGTTCTTTGAGAAACTATTCCCTTCATGCTAGACAGTAAGTGTATTCATGATTCTTTTCTCAGTACCAGTTTCCTTGTGATATAAACTATTTGTGTTCTTTGAGAAACTATTCCCTTCATGCTAGACAGTAACATGTTCTCTTTGCTTTTCATTATTTCTGGTAACTTCTGCCTTAACTATTATTTTCTTATGAATCTAGTAGGAATACATTTTATTATTTGGAACTAAGAAAACTGATTTTCTCAGAAGGAGGTTTTCTACTGTTAGACATATCCTGATCACTCTTGCTTTATATTTTGGAGATTGGCTGCTACATTTTCAGCTTTTTAACCTACTCTGTTTAAAGCTGGTCAATTTGTTGGCTAGTTTTCTATCATATTTTGCATTGAATGAATGTAGTTTGATCAATTTTAGGTTTCTATTCTCTACTTTTCTACCTCATTGATATTGGTATCTTTAAAGTTTCCCATCAAAGTCTCTGATGGGTGGTGAGGATATTGAATTCAGGGCTACTGAACTACTGAGCCTTATACCCAGCCCTATTCTTTATTTGATTCAGAGACAGGGTCTCACAGATTTGCTTAGATTCTTGTGCTGAGGCTAGCTTTGGACTTGAAATCCTCCAGCCTCAGTCTCCTGAGCTGCTGGGATTATAGGCATGTGCCACCTTGCATCTTAAATTGATGTTATTTAAAACTTGCAAATACAACTATATTTTACTTAGAGAAATACATTTTCATTCAGTATATAACTATTATTGTGGCAGCAATTTGGGGGGTAGCAATTTGGGGGGTAATGTTTCTCTAAGATCTTTCAGTATTACTTACTATATTAAATATATGACATATCATTATGTTAGTGTCATGTCCTTGACAGTATTTTACAACATTTAATATTTTTGTAGCTATGTTGTAACTAAAAAATAAATTAGCTCATATTTCTTCAATTTTAGATGACACCAATATAATTACTTTCAGATGCACTTTTCAGGGTTTGTACTCAAATTTATTAAGGTCATCATCACATCTGATAAGCCTATTAAAAACTTGTGACTTCTTCATTGGTGATTGTGAGTTGTTTCAGTTTAATTCTGCTTAGTAATTAATGTGTTACTACAATGTGTCCATTAGAAACATAGCTCATAATTCACTCAGTATACATTCATTAAAATATGATCTTTTGAGTGACTTTTAGTGTGACAGCATGAAGATATCCATGAAAGTTCAGCTCAACAGAACTAATAAACAGGAGACAGGGGAAAGCAACACAATTCCAACTATTTATAATTGCTGGCCCAGAAATGTAGATTAAGAAAACAGACAAGTAAAGATAAAAACAAAAGTATAAAAGGCAATAAAATACATGTTTTTCTACTTTCTTAATGGATACTGAAAGCAACATATAAAACTGAATATTTAGAATATATGTGCCTAGTACCACAAAAACAAAAAGACCTCACACCATGTGGGAAGCACTCTCAGTATTCTTCCATATCTTCTTTGAAACATATTTTTGGATTTCTGAATAAAAATATGTAATTAAATAGCGTCTGCAGACTGAAGTGTTTAACATTTTTATTCATCATGCACACAGACACATTTGGTTTGATAGAAAAATCATGGTTTAATTTTACTAATTTACACTTTTTTTCAGGGTGCAATAAATAGCTTCAGGATGTATATCTTGCAATCTACCATGTGCTTAGTGTCACATTAGTTATTCATCAATGGATAGTCCTCATATGGGCTGAGGAAAAACTATCATTCAATTTCAGTTAATCCAGCTTTTCTCTTATTGAATGTGCAGCATCTCTCTGTTGTAAATTCTGTAAATCTACCAACTTAACTAAGATACTGATTAATTAATTATTTTCTAATTTTATTGTGGAATTGACTTAAGTAAATGTGTGGCTCTCTCCCTACAGTAGATAGATTATCTTATGTATTTTTTTTCGTGGATGCATATCTTTATTTCCATTACAAACCAAGTTCTATTTTATTCTTCTTATTCTTTTTGTCTTTGTATTGGAGATCAAATCTAGCATTGCTCTATAATTGAGCAATATTATATCTGCCTAAGTTTCCCAATTGGTTTTGTACTGCTTTTAGTATCAGGAATTAAACCCAGAGACACTAAGCCACTGAGTCACATCAAAAACCTCTCTCTCTCCCTCTCTCTTTCTCTCTCTCTCTCTCTCTCTCTCTCTCTCTCTCTCTCATTATTTTATATTATTTTTTTAAAATTTTTTTGTACTAGGCACTGAAATCATGGGTGCATATCAACTAAGCTACATCCCCAGGTTTTTTATGCTTTATATTTAAGTAGGGTCTCACTAGGTTGTTTATAGATCTTCTAAATTTCTAACACTGGATTTCAACATGAAATCTTCTTGACTAAATTTCCTCTAAACCCCTGAGACTACAGTCATGTACCACCATACACAGTTTTTGTGTGTGTGTGTGTGTGCATGTGTGTGTGTGCGTGTGTGTGTGTGTGAGACAGGAAATCACTAAGTTGCTTAAGGGCTTACTAAATTTCTGAGGTTGCCTTTAAACTTGAGAATTTCCTGCCTTAGCCTCCTGAGCTGCTGATATTACAGGAATGTACCATCATGACAAGGAGTCTTGGTTGACCTTTTAATTTCTATTAAGTACACATAAAGTTTTACATACATATACATTCATCTATGGGTTTTGTTTTGTATTATGATTTCTTGGTTTTTATTACTGTAAAATAAGTTCTTTTTAATTCAGAATTTTGGGGCTGATTTCATGTATAACATATAATATTCCAGATGAATTTAAGAATTTTTCTTTGGTCACTTCTTTCATTAAAATTAAAATATGCTAACATTTTAATGAGGTAATATTGTAGATTTAGAAGAAATTTTACAACTTGGTAATGATGCATTTTTCTTATGTACACAATGGTGTGTAGGATCAAGTCTTTTATGTTCTTTTGTGTACTTTTTTATTTTCTCACAATCTACATATTTTTAAACATGCATTAATGCAAAATATCCATGTATGTGACATCTACATAAAATTATGTGATGGCTCACATATTTGTCAAACTAGGTACATTATGATGAAAATGGGTTCTGAAAATCATTTTTCTCACTGTATTCCCTTTGTCTTTCTAACCCTATTCTTATTAAATGTTTCTCAATGTGCATCGCCTTTTCTCCATGTCCTGGATTTCATCTGTTTGGATCAACATTGCCATATCCTTATATCTTTTCATTGGTCAGATATGCAGGAATTTTTATAAGCATATGCTTCTTCTGGGGAATGAACATGTATTTTCAATAGCCATTTCTTGAAAGAAATAAGAATTTTCACTCTGTCTTTAGTTCTTGAGAATTTATTTGCTTCATATATTTATGATACTATTTGATTTTGTCTCAAGATATGATTTTATCTGCCATTTTCAAATTTTTAAAGCTATTGAGCTAGTTTATAATTATTGAACACTTATGTTTCTTTTTAAAAGGTGGCTATTGAAGTCTATTTCCTTCCTTTGATTGGATTGAATTCAGAGGCACTTAACCTCTGAACAAAATCCTAGATCTTTTTTATTATTTTATTTTGATACTTAGTCTCACTTAATTGCTTAAGGCCTCACTAAATTGTTGGCACTGGGTTTGAACTCACAATTCTATTTCTTAAGTATCCCGAGCTGCTGGGAATATAGAAATCTGCCACCATTCATAACTCTTACATTCTCTTTTTTGGAGTGTCTGTTTTTGACATTCTTTTTTATTTTTATTTACTTTTATTTGGTACCCAGTTTTAAAATCAAGGATTCTTAACTACTGTGAAACATCCCCTGATGTTTTTTATTTTATTTTTTTAAGTTTGAGACAGGGTCTCTAATTTACTTATGGGCCAGGATGAGTTGATAATCTAGCTTTAAACTTGGGATCCTCTTGCCCTAGCTTCTGTTACTCCTTTCTCAAATATGAGGCATACATTTTGTCATATGTGAGGTAATTAGTTTTTTTTCCCCATTTTGTTACTTCAATTTGTACACTTTAATGATAACATATTATAAATATAAATCACATTTAAATATTGTTCTGTTTTGTTATAAAGTGTCTTAAATTCTTCCTGTTTTTCTCTTTGTAAATCCCACCATCTTAAGAAGAAGAAGCTCAGATTAGGCTTATGAAGGAGAAGAGGCCATGTGGATGAGAATGAAAAGAACACAGTGGACAGCCATCTATTCCAGGAACAGGATAACCATGTCAAAGAGCAGAGTTTACACTGGTAATATTTCTGCTGAAATCAGAATAGCCCAGATAAACCCAGTCTCAATTTGGCTTATTTAATAAACTGTTCATTTAAATCATTAATTAGGGCTGAGGATGTGGCTCAAGCGGTAGCGCGCTCGCCTGGCATGCGTGTGGCCCGGGTTCGATCCTCAGCACCACATACAAACAAAGATGTTGTGTCCGCCAATAACTAAAAAAATAAATAAATATTAAAAAAATTCTCTCTCTCTCTCTCTCTCTCTCTCTCTCTCTCCCCCCCCCTCTTTAAAATAAATAAATAAATAAATCATTAATTAGCTGGTAGTTTGTAATATTTGATAGCTTTGTAACACTTGATCGCTTAAATACATTTAATGGAAACAGGAAACATGCTAATTTCAAGGTAACTGCTTAGATTTAGGCATGGAAGAAGCATTGAATTCATTTTTCTTGATTTAATGTTGAAAGTCCTATAAAATGACTTTGAGTAATGCCAAAATGCATGTAGACATGAAAATGTTATTAGTACTTGAACTCACAGTATAATCTAAACAAAAGATAAACCAGACAACCATAGCTGGGTTACTAGGATGAAGGCCCATTGGGCCTTATCTTTTTGTTCACAACTAAATTTCAGTATCAAGGTGTAGACAGACATGAAGACATGAGGACCCTCCCGCCTGGATTTGCTTTATCTGTTGTTTGCTGTCTAATATATGAAAAGGCTACTGACCTTAACAGTTATCAGTTTGGAAAAAAATGGCCTTCCTTAGGCAACTCTCATCTTATAGCACCTTCCTGGGTCTAAAAATATCATTTTTTTTCATTTGGTTTAAAGGAGAAATATTGTATGGAAGACATGTTTTCTCACCTCGGATAAGAAAGGAGGGTTTCAGTCATTCAATTTTCTGCAGTCCAGGGAACCACAGCACTCAGGTATATACTTGTGATGTGTCAGCCATTTGCCACATGTGGCTAGAGTTCTTGGAATGTAGCTGATCTATATTGAGAAGTATCAGAAGTGGAAAGAAGTGTGAAATTTGAAAGTTTAATGAGAAATACATGTAGTTAGCTAACAATTTTCATTGTTTCTAATAATTATAAAATTATGGATATATTGGGTTAAAAGTATAATAATTTTTTTAGAAATTATAATCATAATTTTATTATGTAATAGAAGTTTTAATTATTTCATAACTTAAATTATTATAAAGTACCAATTTTTGTGATAACTTATAAATCATAAGAATTTATAGAAATTTATTTATAACTTATTGTAATTATGTATTTGTTTTACTTATGACCTCTAAAAGTTCAGTTACACATATATTTATCATTTTATTTCTTTCAACTATGATGCTATAGAAGATTGTCTACTTTTTCTAAAATCCAGCTTCATCGATATTCCTTAACATGAGCTGGGTGTGTTGTTGCATACCTGTAATGCTGGTGATTCAGGAAACTAAAGAAAGTTAATCACAAGCTTAGGGCCAGCCTCAAAGACTTAGTTGCTGCAGTCTGGCTGGGCACAATTCAGGAGCCACTTGTCAAAAGAAACAAACTTTATTTTTAGAACCACACAGGCCAAACAAAACAGCTCCTCAGGAAAAACCCTCAGAGCCCAACTGCCACCACCGGCTTCCCACAAGCCTCTCAACCTCCCCCACTCCTCCTGCTCTTGAGGCCGATTGGCTGGGTCCCATGGGCGGAGCCAAAAAAGTCCCCCAATGAGCAGCTCCGTGGTCTGAAAGGGCAGGGAAACAGCCCAATGAGCCTCACTGCAGAGGAGCCAATCAGCTAGAAGTTGCTGGGGCTGCTGTGAGCCAATCATCAGCTGGCAGTCTGAAAGTTTGCTGGGGCCCCTTCGGCTGTGGCTCTCAACATTTAGTGAGATTCTGGCAAAACAGAATAAATAAATAAATTTTGAATACAACTGGAGATGTTCCTCAATAATGCATCACTGGGGTCTATCCCTGGAACCAAACAAACAAATAAGCCTCATTTAGCCAGAGTATGAAGGTTATGATACCCAAAAATGTAAAATAATTCTCACTATATTATTTGCATTTGTGAATCTGTCATTGACATTATTGTCACTGATAATTGATATAACATTATATTCAACATTAAATACTTATGTCCCCTTGTATGGCCAGGGCTTCTTGCACATAGAAAGCTCTGTCTGAGAAGGAATATAATTAATATTTTATTATTTTTGGGTCCTATGGCCTGAATTAAAATTATTTCACCTTAGAATCAGTGGCAGAGTGATCTTAGCTTGGTATTTTTTCTATTCAGGTAAAAATTATTCATTCAGAAGTGATTGGGTGATAATTATTGACTCAGAGCAACAACTGAAGAATACAAGGTAGTCTTCAAATTCTGGGAGATAATTCATCTCTGTCTCAGGCAAATATCTTGATTCATCTCCAGGTTTTGTGATACCTGAGTGGCTCTGTCACAGGCCCTTTCCCTCAGACTTTCAGGGTCTAGACTATTTTTAACAATGATAAGTCTTCACAGATGGGCATTATGAAACAGAAGAAAGGGGCTGAGTAAAAGTAGTCAGAACTAATTGTGAGAACCTGGGCTTTCCTGAGGTCACCTTTGTAAACTTTTAACCCTAGTCTAAATTTGATAGAGCTCAATATACTGCCACCTCTGGCCCTAAGAATGGGGTTGACAGTCAGGATTCTACTTTTTGTCCTGTGCAGATTGGTGACCTCTGCTTGGCCTGAAACCAACTCTGTACTTTCTTGCCTACACCCTTCAGAGTGGATATTAAAGACAGGATCAGGACATGAAAATTTGACTCATATTTGGGAGGAGCTGTGGTCCAAGGAGTTTCAGTTTCTTTTTCCTTACCAGGTGTCACTCATTTTTTTAAGTGCATCTTCCAAGTGTGTGCTAAGCATGATTTTCCTAAAAGTCATCTTTTCTCAGCTAATTTACTATATTATGAAGTATGGTTCCCTGGAATATTTCAAATTACACAGAGTTTTAATTCATCTTTTCCTCTTAGGTTTGGATGGAATTTTTAAAAGTGAGTGTGTGTGTGTGCACGTGCATGTGTGTGGTTGTACTTTCACATGAGAAGAACGTGGTTATAATGTAAAACAGTTTAAAAAGTATTTGTACCTAATGCCAGGTGTGAAGATGCATGTTCATAATCTCAGCATTTTAGTAGGCTGAAACCAAAGGATCAATATATTGAGAAGAAGAAATAAAAAGAAGAGGGGAATGTTGCTAAATGTGTAGGCACTCCTGAGTTTAATCTTGGCATTAAAATAAAAAAATCTTTGAACTTTGTGTTTATTTGTCTTTCATAAGCATAGAAAGCAAGTCTAGCGTCCCCTTAAGAAACTTTAAAGTATGATATCTCTGTAATATCTACCATGTCTTTGAGTAGCCATGGTGTAAAAATTACATGAAGCTGACCCAAGGTGCTCATGTTTGTTGAATTACCTAGAGAATACCAACTTCTGTGTAGTCCTCTCTTCTTTCAGAGCAGCTTGTGTTCAGGGAATGGAGCACCTTGTTGGACTAGCTAGTTACTCTAGATCCTCTAGAGATATCAGGAATATTCTGTGTTGGTTTCATCTAAATAGATCAAATATTGGAATATTAATATTATTTTCCCCAAATGTTAGGTTCAGAAACACTTTGCTGCTCAGACCCATTGATTCTGTAACTTTAAAAAAAAAGGCAAATATGATTTTTGTCCTCTTTTCTTACTCATCTAGGAAAGACTGATTATAAGGTGCCAGAATTTGAAAGGAGAATAAACTGTACCAAATATTCAGAAAAACAAACAAACAATCAAACAAAATAATCCTAGTGTGCTTTTGCAGAAGTCTTCAAGCAAATACTAACTATATGCCAATTGGAAGACATAATGTAGTACCTCAAGTTTGGGAAGATAACTAATTATTTAAGTAAATAGGATGGTGGGTAGAGAATGTCTCATTTAATCTAACATTTTCATTACCTATGAAATGTAATTTAACAGAAATATTTGAAAGTTAAAAAAAAAAAAAAACGTTTCCAAAGAAAAAAGATAGAGGAAAATTTTAGGATAAAATTTTATTCAAACTAAAGTCAATTTTTGAGCCTGTAAAAGAACATCATTGAAGGTTATGTAAGATCTTATTTCTATCTGTGGCTATAATTTTCATTGGTGTCTAGCTATTTCTAGAATGTCAGATTGAAAAAATTCAGAGATAGGTAATAAGCAACTTTTTTTTCTAAGTCTATATTGGAATACTGCAAATTCATCAAACATAAGATATGGATGTATCTAAAAATCTCAGGCTCTCAAGGGCTTGTTTTTAGCAGAAAAAGAAAATAAAGAAGGTGAAAGGCAAATGGATCAAAAGAGGTTAGCACATTTTTATCTTTCTGGGCATATTAGGACATGCCAGTAATCACAACTACCTGGAAGTGAGGCAGAAAGGTCAAAGTTCAAGCTTAGTGTAGCAACTTAGTGAGACAAGGTTTAAAAAGAATAAAATAAATTAAAAGGCCTAGGATATATCTTACTTGTAGAATGCCCCTGTACCAAATAATAATAATAATAATAATAATAATAATAATAATAATAATAATCAAAATTCCAAATGAAGAATTCTTTACCCTGAAGCCAGCGAATACTTAGGAGTTTTAAGAAAATTGTGTGTATGTTGGTTTGGGCTGACATGAGATGACTCAATAATATTTTCTAATGATATAGAGGAGAGACTTAAGCTGGTTTTTCTTCTTCTTCTTCTTCTTCTTCTTCTTCTTCGTCTTCTTCTTCTTCTTCTTCTTCTTCCTCCTCCTCCTCCTCCTCCTCCTCCTCCTCCTCCTCCTGTTCTTTAGAAATATTTTGTTCTTACCCCTGAATGTAAATGTGTCTGTTAAATATTTTTGGTGGAAAAAAAATGAAAAAATTCAGAATGAGTATCTGAATCAGCATATTTCAAATAGTAAGGATCTTCTAAATCATAATAGGAAGGGGTCTCTTCACTGCTGTGGCAGAACAGAAAATTTGGAGGTAATATCTTCAACCAGTTATTTCCTAAAATGGCCTATATAGTGTCCCAATTTCCTCTGATATTTTTTATGTTCTATGCAAGTTTTCAAATGTCAACTTCCTGACTTATATAATTTATAAAAAGCTGGTATACATAAGTGTGTTTTTTTAATTAGAATAACTTGAGTGTGTAGATGTAGAGACCCCTAATTTATAAGAAATGAATCATAAATATAAATGTTATTTTATTCTAGGGCTTGAAACTGGCACCTCAATTAGTAAAGTTTGATAAAACTGAACCTCAAACTTGTAGGATCTGTATTAAATGTCATCAGAATTGAATTATTGAAATACTAGTTTTTGAAATATTGGTTGTTCTGCAAATTTGCACATTTAGTATCAAAAGTGGTTGTAGAGTCAGGAGTGGTGGCACACACCTGTAATCACAGTGATGTGGAAAAATGAGGTACAAAAAATAAAAATTTGAGACCAGATTCAGTAATTCAGAGGCCCTAAGCAACTTTGTGAGTTCATTTATCAAAATTAAAAATAAAATAAAATTTCTTGAATTGAATTTCAGGGGTAGAGTGCCCCTGGGTTAAAATCTATTATTATTATTATTATTATTATTATTATTATTATTATTATTATTATTTCAGAAAAAAGGACATCATAGATCAGAACCTTAAACTAACTTCAGGTTATGTGAGTGTTCACTAGAGATAATTGAGACCCTGGAAAAGGGAGTATATCCATGCTGTCAGGGTGGCATTTAGGGTGCCAGAACCTTTCCGATTGTTTTCTTTAACTGCTTATTCTATTGTTTAGAAGTGAGTGGTGATGTTGTTGTCTGAAGAAGTAAAAATATTTTTTTTAAATACAGTACTTGTTTTATGGTAAGTTTAAATAATGAGAAGATAGACAACTTTGGAGATGACCATTAAATTAATATGTGAACTGTGGAAGTTTTGATGTGTCTTTAGTGATCTCTTAAGTCTCTTATTCACTGAAGTGACCACTGACATATGAGTATAGTTATTACTTACATTTTTGCTATGCATGTCTCAAGTATCATTGCTTTGTTCGGTTGTGCTTCTTTTGAATATTTAATAACAAATTGCAACTATTATTTATCCTTTGGAATTATGTTGGATTTTATTTTCCACTTTTTTTACTTCAGTGTTTTGCTTCACATGTGCTGCTCCCTGGGTTTCATTGTACCAAATTTATCCACCAATTTTACTGCTTATAATTATTGGAGCCAGGGATATAGCTCAGTTGGTAGAATGCTCGCCTTGCATGCACAAGGCCCTGGCTTCAAACCCCAGCACCACAAAAAAGTATCTTATTAAATGCTTGAGGTCACTACCATATGTGAAAGCTAGCCGTTTACTTCTCATTACAATTTGTAAGAAATTAAATACTATGTCACTAATCATATGCTTTATTTTAGGAATCATTAACATTAAGGGATGTGGTCATTGATTTCTCTGAAGAGAAATGGAAATGCCTTGATCCTTCTCAGCAGACATTATATGAAGATGTTTTGATAGAGATCATTAGAAACCTACTCTTTATTGGTGAGCCTAAATTTCATTCAGAATTTCTAATTTAAAAAATTTAATTTTTAACTTTGTAGAATATCTTATGGTAGCTTCTATTCTGCATGAAAAGTTTTAGTTTCTTGTTTTTAGGACAAAGATCCAGCATTTGTTTATGTAGGAAAGAAAATGTTAGGATTTTTCTTTTTATATTTAACTTATTTTTTTTTTCTAAGTAGTGCCTACAATGTGGAGAATGAAAATTGTTTCAAAGTATTTTAGTGTTTTTGTCTGAAAAAAAAAAGTTTGGGAAAATGATTGCGTAGAATATTAAAATGACTTCTGTAGTTACCAAGAAAATAAAAAATGTGTCATATTCCATTTTCCATAAAAAAATTTTTTCTGTCTCTAAGTAATCGTTTGTTTCCTTTGTGTTCTCAAAGTTATAGCCTTGGAATTTAAAGATAAACCTGACAATAGACGTATGAAAGTGGGTAGAAATCAATGAAGCAAAGAATACAGAGAAAAGATCCAAATTTCAAAGAGGAATCACAGTGACAAAAAATTGACAAAAATTATTTTTTCAAGCTTAGGTTTGTTTCTGTTGCAATCATTAAAGAGCATTCTATGCTCTATGCTTACCATGCAAATCAATTATTTAAGCTAGTACTTGTTCTACAGTGATATCTCTACATTCAAATTAACAAAGTATTGTAGGAAAATAAAAAGAAGAAACAGAGAAAAGATACAGGAAAGTGGCATAGTGGAGAGAGCCCAAGCTGCCAAGCTTTATTTATATCAATAGGTTAATTTAGGTCATTGGCATCACTAATACATACTGTTCATTTTATTACTAGGAAGGTTACAACCTTAGCAATATTATGCAGCTTATTTCTCAGTTATATACTAAATTGCAATGTGAAATGTTGGGAGTTTTGTGTAGCTCTCAAGAAAGTCCATTTTATAAACTTACTGTTATGTGGACAGATTTAGGCTCAGTGAAACATTGTGCTTGTCTAAAAAGAGAGTTCCTTTATTCCCAGGAGCTGTGTGCCAGAGATCATGTTTGAGGCTGATAACACTCTAGTCCAGAGCCTTTTCAAACAGGGCATTGCCATAGCAGCTTGGCATTGCACATGTATTTTATTAGTTTACTAGTTCCTAGGGGAAATTGCAGGGCATTCTAAGGGTGGAAAACAGAGTGCCTGTAATGCCTGGGAGTTTGATCATCAGAGAAATGCTTCTCTTTACATTTCCACAGTCAGAATCCCTACAAAGTATTTCATATTGCCTGTGAGGATATGCATAACCTGGCATTTATTTGTATTTGGGGGATCCCTAGAAAATCTTCTCATTTCCAAATATCTCCTGGTAAAACCATTGTAATATATTAATATTATAGAAGAGTTTCTTTAATATAATTTAAGTATTTATTCATTCAAATTTTTCTTATTAGAGCTTTATATGAATGCATATACTAGATATTCTGTGAAATTTTTCTGCCATGTAATGAATAGTAGTATTTCACAATGCCTGCTCCTAGTGGTTATGTAAGTATAGCTGATAAACGTGGTTTAAAGAAGAATTTTCAGGGCTGGGGCTGTAGTTTAGTGGCAGAGGGCTTGCCTCACACATATGAGGCACTGTGATCCTTAGCACTACATAAAAATAAGCAGATTAAATAAATGCATTCTATCCACCTGTAACTACAAAATTTTAAAAGAAAGATTTCTATTGTAATACAATTATTCACAATTTTGTGGGTAACATGTCTCTAAATCTTGTGTCTTTTTTTTTAATTCCAATCTTTAGAGAGCTTCAGTGTTGTTCATTAGGTTTTCTCACATCAGTGATATTGTTTTTATTTTTATATCTATATGTTATAATTAAATAGAAATGATCATGACTTGTCACTTTAGGAAAGCATTAAGTGAAATTGACTGCACGTGAACAATTTGCCAATTTTCAATCAAGTTTTCTATGCATTTACTTACATGTATAAATATTTATGTTTTATTTATGATTTGTATATAGTGCCTTGATTGTTTACTCTGTTCATGTGCTTAATCATGTAACATATCTTAATTTTGGTCTAGAAATATATACATATACTGTGGATTGAACTCAGAGGTTCTTATAATATTGAGCTACATTTTCACCCCCTTTTGACTTTTAAAATAGACTCTTGATAAGTGGCTGAAGCTGAAATTTTATTTCCATTCCTCAGCCTTTCAAGTAGCTAGAATTAATTGCATATTCATCATCTCTCTGTATATGAATCTGTGCTTTTGTCTAGGGGTAAGACTTTAGCTTTTTAATGGCACCATAAAGATGTTTACAATTATGTTTATCTTTTATATATTTGTCAAATTTTTAATTGTGATAAAAATTGTATAACTTTACTGAACTTACTGTCTTATATATTTTAAATTTACTGGTGACTAGTGTTCATTTAAATTTTTGTAATATTTTTATAAAAATTGTGTATCACATAGAAAGTAAGTTTATTTTTCCTCCAAACAAGTGCTCCTTTTTCTCACCTTTTCATCCCTGATGTCATTTCTTTTGGTCTGTATATTTGGCTACAGTAGATATCTCTCAGAAGTAGAATTATCTGGTATTTATTTCTTCGTGAATTACTATTTCAGTTAACATACTATCATAAAAGTTAATCATTGTGGATATTATATAATTTCTCATCTTTGTAAAATTTGAAAACTTTTCATAATTTATTCCAAATTGCCTTCATACAGTCTTGTGAAATGACATTTGATTGGCTTGCAACATTGGTCTCTATTGAACGTTGTTTTAATTAGAATAGATCTGTAAAAATATATTTTGACTTGACCATCAAGTTGAGAGCTAATTGATGTATTTTCAGTTTTATTCTTCCTGGTTTCATCATTTAACCTCAAGTTTACATAAATCTATTTAATACTGAGGCTTTTATTATTTTTATATAAGAAAGCATTTTCTTTAAATTTTTAATGTGCAGTTATTTATGCACCTAGGATATTCCATAGAATTGTTCAAATAAATAATTGTTCAAATATATTTCTTTATGTAAAAATAACATTGATTATTTGGTTGGTATTATATGGAGTTCTTAGATTATTTGGAGTGCTATAGGCACTTTTTCCCCCCAGTAGCAGACGTGCTTAACCACTGAGCAACATCGACAGCACTTTTTTGAGAAGGGCACTTGCCCACTGAGCTATATCCCAAGCCCCATTTTGTATTTTATTTAGAAACATGGTCTCCTTGATTTACTTAGCATCTTTCTTTTGATGAGGCTGACTTTGAACTCACAGTCCTGCTATCTCAGACTCCCAAGATGCTTGAATTACAGCGATGTGTTACCATGCCTGGCTGGCAGCTGTTTTTATATTTCATTTTGTCTAACCAAGTTGCTTAGGGCCTTGCTTAATTGCTGAATTTTGCTTTAAACTTATATTAGTTAATTTTGGATATCACTTTCACTTTTGATTTCCAACTTATTATGTTATGTTAGAAAGCAACTTTAATATTTTAATATCTGTTAACATTGTTTTGTGCTTTTAACCTGATCTCTTTGAAATAATATTCCATACACACTAGAGAAGATTGCCTCTGTAAACCTAATGGGTTTTTAATGCTTTTTTGAGGTTCTTTTGTTCCATGGATATTAATGCAATGCTATTTTTTCTTGCATTAATTGGAGATTGATATCTCCTACTATTATTTTGTTGCCTTCTATGATGTTGAGTTTTTTATTGTGTTTTCTTTCTATATGTGAAAAATATGATTTCAGTTATGAATATATTCACTATGATTGTATTCCAGGGATTGGCCATATTTATCTTTATGTAATATTCTATTTTCTCTCTTATTTATATAATTATTATCATCTTTGCAATTTCAAATGTAATATTTGTTTTATCGTTTTTTAGTCTTTTTGTGACCTAATATCTAAAGAGTACCTTCTGTAGATTTACATTTCATATAATTAACATATTTTTGGGTTTAATATTCTTAGTCACATTGTGTTCTGATTAGTTTTTTTTTTCAAATTAGTTTATGTGTACTTAAATTACTGATGAGGAACAAATTACTTCTGTTGTTTTCAAGTTTTGTTGATATGTTTTCTACTATTAAAAAACTGCCTTAACTTGTAGTTCATAGATTTTTATGGTGATTATTTTATTTTTTATCTTTGATGTTTATTTTTTCACTCCTTTGGAATTATATAAAAGTAATTAAAAACAGTAGAATAAATTGGAAATAATTTTCTTATGCTCTTATATGAATACACAACCAGCATAACTTCATATAATTTACCATCAAAAGATTAGGTAGCTATACTTTATGAATGTATGATATGTGAAGATACATTCTACTGTCATGTATAACTAAAGAAATTAAAAAAAATAAAGTACTTAGTTTTACACTACATTTTAAACTAAATTAACTTTGTTTCTTAAAACAATCAGTGTCTTTACATGTGTTGCCATGATTTGTTATTGATGTCACACCTGCTTTTCTAACATACTAATTAACAAAGATTTATGATAATTTTATGCTTTAGTTTTCCAAACTCTATAGTAGAATGAAATGTTTTGTGTACAACAATGAAAGTAAAATAAAATGTATATTTGTATATATTTTTTTCCACAAGAGCTTTGAAATTTTATATGATTTCTGTTGTCCAGATTCATTTTATTAGAAAGATTCCATTGATTATTTCTCTTAGAGCAGGTCAAGAAATAAAGAAATTTTTGAATATTTACATATTTTGAAAGCCTGTATTGTTCTTAAAGTTTAAAAACTTGAATTGGTGGGTAAATTATTCTAGGTTCATATTTTCTTTTTCTTTCAACATATATACCTATATACTCCAATTCCCTTCTGGAAGTCTTCTGCAAAAAAATCAACTGTTAACCATAAAAGAACATGTTTGTAATTAAAATTTCTCTTTTTCTTAGTCATATCAATTTTTTTTCTTGAAGAGTTTTAAAGGTTTGATTATAAATTTATTAAATTTATTTATTTATTTATACTGGGATTTAATTCAGGGGCACTTGACCATTTAGCCGCATCACCAGCTGTATTTTGTATTTTATTTAGAGACAGGGTTTCACTGAGGTGCTTAGTGCCTCACCATTGCTGAGTTGGTCTCTGAACTCATAATCCTCCTGCCTCAGCTTCCCCAGATTCTGGGATTACATTCATGAACCACATCATCCAGCACTACCTGTGTCTTTTAATTAATACTAGCCTTTGATGTATTTTCTTCCTCAAATTTCTAATTTATGAGACTTTTTTTTGTGTGTGTGGTACTGGGGATTAAGCCCAGCCTTTTGCATGTGCAAGCATTCAACCATCTGAGATGTATCCCAAGTCTGAGACATTGTTTTTAAAATAATATTTTTAGTATATAATTTCTACTTTTTCTGTTGCTATTTTTTTCTGAATATCTTTCAGTTTTCTACACTGCTATTTAGTTTATTAAATATCTTTCAAT